ATTACGTTTTTAAGCTTTTTAGCTACTAGGCAGTATCTAGGCTATTTATAGTAATTTTCCTTTACTTTAGAAAGTTACTAGTATTAAGATATTTAACTATTTAATAGTAAAGCTAATCTATAGTCACGTGATTTACTATTACGTAACTTACCTTAGCGGCTTACTTACACTACTATAAATATTTATAGTAATAACTTCTTCTTCTTTTTCCTATTATCTATCTTAATAAGTAACTAGTAGTTAATTAAACTATTACTGCTTTATAATTACGATCCCTATAATACTAATAGTATACTTAATTTATAACACTTCTTAACTAGATTATTCTTATAAGACTTCTTATATAAATCTACTATATTTAGCTTAGTAGCTTTATTAAAAGGGTAATAAAGCCGCTTTATAGTATTACTAAGCTAGGCACCTACTAGTAGGCTATATATAACTACTAGTATAAAAAGAATCTTTAGATAGATTTATTAACTTTTAACCTCTACTTACTTATTTTATTAGCTAATAATAAAGGCTTTAGCCTTATTAGTATATATATAAATAATATAATTAGCCTAATAAATAATAAATTCTTTACTTATAAAAAGAAAAAGCTTAAGAAAGTAACTTTTACTATAAAGCCTAAGTAAATACTAACTATTAATAATTATATTACTTTTAATAGTACTATATTTTCTCTTAGCTATAATAATAAAATAGATCTTTACTAAAAAGATTAAGGTAAAAAGGTTTAGCTTATTAACGTGAATTTACTTACTACTAAGTAAGATTTTATCTAGTAAAAGTCCTATAAGGTATATATTATATTAGTTTACTAACTTAAAGCTTACTTTAACTATTTAGTTACTATATAATACTAAGAGCCTATAAAAGAGGAGATTAAGGCCCTTAATTACTAGATTAAGTAGTAACTAAGCTACCTTAACTATAGCTTACTTTTTAACTTAATTAACCTTATAAGTATAAAACTTTTTATTTTTATTAATAGCGTATTTATAATAACTATAACTTTACTTTATAACTTAGCTTTATTATTATACTTACTAATAAAAGTAGTATTATATAACTTACTACTAATAATAAGAAATTTATACTTACTACTAATATTATCTACTTTAGCTTAATAAACTATAAAAAAGTTATATATAATACACTAGCCTCTAAAGTCTACAGTATAGTACTAGCACTAATATTACTTATATAATTAGTACTATACTTATAATAATTACTAACTACCTTAAGTTACTATAAATCCTAATAATCCTCTATACTAATTTATACTCCTTTTATAAATACCTTATAAAGCGTAGTACTACTAAGGAGAAGTAGCTTAGAATTAATATTATAGTACTTTACTAGTTATATAAGTAATATAAGATCTATAAGATCTAATAGATATAAGGGGAGAATAACTTAGTAAATAGATTTATAAAGTTATTACTAAATAAAGCACTAAAGCAGTTAGTTAATAATAGTTAATTAGAGATATAAATAAATTAATAGGTTTTATATATATAATAGGTTATATATATAAGAAAGTATTTAATACTTTTTAGCCTTTTCTTCTTATCACGTTTCTAGGCCTTTTAATAATAACTAGAAAATAAGGATAACTTATAGTACTTTAGAAGGTTACTAGTGTTATAATATTAACTATTACTAAGATATTAGTAGTATAGACTAACGCTAATAACAGCTAGAATAACTATAGCTAATTTACTATAAAATCTCTTAGGGATTTTATAGTAATTTCCCTATAGATCTACTAGAACTATAGGTATATTACGTAGTAAATTTACTATAGAATCCTATATTAGTTTTCCTCTTTATATATAATTTAGAACTATTATTTACCCTTATTATTTATTACTACTTATTAATACGTATAGTTAACTATATTACTACCCTAGTTATAACTAATAGTTAGGATTACTTATAATATACTTATTAATTTACTACTAATATTATATATTTACTTACTAATTACTAGGCCTTTATAACCTATTTATAAAGTAATAAACCTATAATAAATAATACATTAAGTATATAAGACACTTTACTTTTTTACTTATACTTTATTAATAGTAATACCTCTAATTTTTTAATTTATTCTTCTTTATTATATATTTATTATATATTAGATTATTTATTATTACCTCTAGTTAGGCTATATATACTATAGCCTACTTAGCTATAATATAGTAAGTTATTAGTAAGGGCTTTAACTTTCTCTTATACTATCTTATAAAGAGACTACTAGTTAAGATTATTCTAATTACTTATTATTTTACTAGTTATTATATATAAGCCTAACTTAGTGCTAAGTAAGCTACTTTATAATATAGTAATAAGGTTATTAAACTATAACAATAGTTATTAATTATTTAGTAAATTAACTTATATAAATTTACTATAAGCTATGTTTTATTTACTAAGCTATATAGTAAGATCTTTCTTAGTAGTTAAGGGCTTTTACTAGGTCTTTACTAATACTTTACTATACTTATTATAAGTATATTTTATATACTTTTTCTTAGTTACTTTTACTACTACACTAAGCTTATTTAGCTATTTAGCTAGTAAATAAGTAGATTTATAATATTTTTCTTAAAGATTTATAAATATAGTAGATTTAACTATACTAGCTATATCTTTAATATCTTTTTACTAAGTAGTATACTTATATACTTCTTTATAATAGTAGCTTATTTAGCTATTTATATATATAAGATTATATATATTAAGATTATTTAGTGTTATTATATATTTAGATTTATATATAAGCCTATTAGGTATAGCTATAATAGCCTTACTTCTTACTATATATAACTATATAGTTACTTACTAAGATATCCTAGTAATTATTTTAACTATAGTAACTTCTTAGTAAGTAGTAAGCTTATTCTTAGTTAAGGCGTATAGATATTATGTTATAAGTAGCTTTATTAGTTTCTTTAGATATATCTTAAGAATTAATTAGTTTACTACTATAACTTCTAGGTTAATATACTTCTAAAGATTATAATACCTTACTTTTACTTAAATAGTATTAAGCTATATAAACTAATTACTATATAATTATAAGATAGTTACCTTATTATTACTATTCTTATTAATTATTATAATACTATTTAATTAGTAAATATATATATTAGTTATTAAAAATAAATATATTAGACTATTAATTATTAAATTATAAGGATTATAATACTTAATTAATTAATTATATTATATATTAAACCTCTTATTTCTTAGTTAGGAAATTCTAGGCTAATTCTAGTAATATTATTAGTAAAATTACTATTGAAGTAAGGCGATTTTACTGCCTATTTTCTAGAGATTTACTATAGAGTAACTATATATTTACTAGTAAATTTATATATAATTCTACTATATCTAATATAAATAACTTAGTATAAACCTAAGGGCTTTTTAAGCTAATACCTAATTAGTAAGTTATCTTTCTTAAAGTTAACTAAGGTACTAATAGTTTACTTTAGCCTTATAAATTAAGGTTATATTATTAAGGTAGTAATATAGTATAGTATAAAAAGTACCTTATTAGGATAAGACTTTATAATAGCTACTACTAGTAAGAACTTTATTAATTACCTGCTATAAGGCCTTCTAGGTATAAGTAACTATTCTAAATTATTTAGTATGTTTAGAATAATTAATTTAATTTTTTACTACTAGAATATTTTAGTTTAAACAGGTAGTTAATTTCTATTCCTTAAAATAAGGGGTAAAAAAGCTAATGTTACTACGTGGCCTGTCTTTACAGGTGGCCTAAGTTATAGGGTGGGGTCTTATTAGTTGCATCAAGGTGCTTGATAAGGACCACCAATCAAAATGCAGAATGGATGTCAGTGGACCTGGAGAAGACCAACCTTGAGGCAATCCTATTTTTCAATCACTTTCTTCTTTCACCCCCTTCGGCTGCGGAACACGCTCGCCATTGTGCTGACACCATCTTCATTGTTTGCATCCACCAAAACCCATGTCGTCCCCTTCACGAGAGACGCCGCCAATAGAGTTTGGCTCCGGCTCAAACACACCCCTCCGACCCCGAAAAACCATCACTGCTTCGCCCACATCGTCTATCTGGCGAGACCTTCCTGAAAGTCTTTTTCGGCAACATGTCGTGGAACTGGAGAAATCAACAAATGCTGTGCCTGCCGATGCCGAGACATTTCCGTTACCCGATGCCCCAGAAGCTGATGCGACTAGAGAAACGGGAACATCTTTCAAAGCGCACACAAATCAAATATCGGCGTCGAAAGGAACGTGTGACGCCTTTCGAGATTCTGATAGCCCCTACGAGCATCTTCAACCCCGCCAACTAACCCTGGCCACTGAACAACGCCTAGCGGATGACATTGCCTACCTGATTGCTGTTGGAGAAGGGGCACAGTCCGTTGCTGCTACAACTGTCCAGGAACATCGAGCAAGGCATCGAGTGGAAGGACAGCAGCAAGATGCAGGTCTTAGGATCGTCATCGCCTCTGTGGATGCGATCCAGCCCAGTTTGCAGGCCTTTCTCAGCTCCATTTTCCAGCTCCTTTCTGCTACGTCACCCACAAAGAAAGCGTGTTGTCTTCTGGACTTGGTCGTTCGGCATCATCAAGCCCGTCTCCTGAACCGCCTTCGCTCAGCCAAATGGAAGAAGCCCGTCTATCTCTTCCGAACCCATAAAAAGCCCTTATATGCCGATTTCGCAAACCTTGTCCATCGCGTCCAGTTCCTTTACACCAAAAAGGAAGCAGCAGCGCGGGCGCAACTTGAAAGAGGGCTCTCGTCGTTGGGGAATCTTCTGGAAGCATTTGAGTCAGAGACAAACGACCACGAGAAATTAGTCGAGATAGTACGGTCTAGCTACGAGCTCTGCAATTCTCCATTCGTCGCAGACTATCTCGAGCGCTTGCAAGCGGGAAGGGCGACAGGTCAAATTCAGGCCTGCCTCAAGACTTTGCGTCAAATTGAGAAGATCGCAGCTTACTACCGTATCTGCGTGACTTTGAGAAGCCTATCACATTCCCACGCTCAAACATTTGACAACGTACAGCTTCTTTTTTTGCCTCCATTCGAGGCAGTGCCTCTCACCTTAGCCTATCAACCATGGGCAAAATTCACTCACGTCCACGCAGAAATCATCTTGGCTGTTCATCACGATCTGGAAAACTCTGATGGTTCCTGGTACAGACCGAGATGCCTTGGCGCCTCTAAATACTTTTGCTATCTCTGTTTCCTGTTTATCCGACATCACGGAGCCTATTTTGCAGCTAACACGCATGGGGCTTGCTACGATCAGTGGACTATACCGGACCTTGCCGACTATCCCGAGTCAGTCGCCAAACATTACCGACAGGTGTTGCGAGCGATGGATGCGGACATTCTAGCCCAAACACGGGACGCAGTATGGAGGCCGGAGCCGATGACCAGCCGTGAAAACTTGATAGGAGCAACAGGCATATAGATCCTTCAACTAGAAGCTCTTTGCGAATGAGGCCTTTTGCTTGGCAGAGGCTTGGTTGATGCAACTGCTATGATGAGTCCGTGTCTACTATCTATTCATGACAACGCTCTTAAGGGAGTGTGGAGACTGCACGACTCAGATCTGATTACCTACCCATCTGGCGCCGGCTGATGGCGCGATTCAGGACCATGTTTAAGGAGTATCGGTAGAATGCCAGGGCGATTTGGTCGGCGGTCAGTGAGTTAAGCCTATTTAGGAAAGCACGGCCACCGCCGCCACTATCACCACTAAAGCCACTAGGTATTCATCAACGTGTAACTAGAAATGCCATGTTCCGTCACCCTAACTCTAAGTAACCTAAACCCTAACCTCACCCTAACTACTTCACTAACTAAGTAACAGATAACAAGGCCTCTTCGACTCAGCCTACACTTGCAAAGAAAACAGTACTGCATGTTGGCCCAGATACCGCAAACCGCAGGCTCGCAGCAGCGGTAGTAAGACCTCTGATGACGGTCTATTGACTCTGGCGATACTTTTAGGTTATCTTCTTTCCAAGGCAATTGTTTGCGGGAATTCCCGAATAGTTGGCCGCAACAATCAAGATTAGCATTCTAATATAGCATGCGCCAGCCAACTTGGCATTTACCAACATCTAAGTGCGATTCCTTGATCGAAAGGTTCAAGTCGGCTATATAAACCCTTGCATAATACTGGGCAAAGAGATGGACTAACGCCAAGGGAAACAGAACGCAGTTGAAAGGGGTAGTATAGAAAAACCCTCATCACAGCCAGTGCTGTAGTATGTTTGTAGAGAACGTTAAGATTTGAGTTACAAAGCAATACGTAAAGTTGCACAGGTACACAGTAATGGCTATACACATCCATGAATACGCAGTAAAAGTACTATGCTTAATGCTCAAAGGAGGGTTTTAGATAGAAACACAGTACTATTATTACAGGAGGCTTATGCTGGTTTAGTGGATAGTATCAGCCACGTCATGTGTAATGTCACCTGACCAACCTTGGGAGTACCATGTCAAAAGTCTAGCAACAATAATAAGAACAACCCAATTAGGAGTCACAGAGCTCACTTTATAAGACCCTACCTGTCGAATAGTAGGGATTATAATAGTTACTTAATTAATTCTGTTATATGTTCTATAACTATAGTAAATTACTATAGAAACAGGAAAAACCCCTATTTCTTAGTTAGGAAATCCCTAGCTAATCCTAGCGATATTATTAGTAAAGTTACTATTAGAAGTAGGGCTAATTTACTGCTTATTCCCTAACAATTTACTATAGGGTAACTATATATTTACTAGCTAATTTACATATAATTCTACTATATTTAATACACCCCCTTAGCGCTAGTAGTATAATTAATTATTATAAAGCCTATACTAAATATTATTTATATATAGCCTATTTATTTATTAATTATCTCTTAATATCTTATACGTTTTCCTCCTCTATTTAGTAGTAAAGCTTTATTTTATTATTAGCTAATTCTTACTATTAATTTACTTTAAGGCGTATATATTAGTTACTTATATTTAATTAAGCTATAAATATAGTAAATTATAGTATACTAAGCGCCTTTATTAATTTATTAGCTATTAATTTAGTAGACTTCTTATATTTAATAGTAATCTAATTTACTACTACTTCTTATTATAGCTAGTAGTTATAAATATTTATATACTATAGCCTTATCTATAGTTAGATAAGCTCTTTAGTAATAAGCCTAATAGTCTAGGTATTATTATAGCTAATATAAATAGTTAGTAGCTATTAAGTAGCTACTTACTTATTAAGTAATAATTTAGTTCTTATTTATATTAATAGTTAAATACCTAGTGTAGTAATTAATCTACTAGTAAAAAGCACCTCTTTTATAGCAGATAATAAGGCTAGTAATTTACCTCTAGTAGTTAATATTATTACTATATCTTATTTATTTACTTACTAGAAGATAAGCCCTCTAAATAGCTTTAGTATATACGCTTATAAGCTGTAATAGTTTAGTAAGTTATTAGTAAATAAGGCGTCTAAAGTAACCTTTAATATATTATCTTTACTACTTAGTGTTACTTTATATTTAAGGTAAAGGTGCTATATTTAATAAAGATACCTAAGCACTTAATTTACTACCTTTTAGTAATCTAGATTTAGATTATAGTTAAAGTAAGTAAGCTAGCTAGCTATAAAGGTAACGTCTAGCTAAGTTATTACTACTATATAAAGGATTATCCTTACCTTCTTTTAATATTAGTTAACCTCTTATAATAAGGCTATATATTTACTAAGTAGTAGCTTAGCCCTTACTATAAGTAATAATTTATTATATTTCTTATTTATTAGCAGTAGTTTAGTTACTTTATTATAATATACTACTTATAAGAGCTAGAGATAATAGTTACTTTAGTTATAAATTACCTTAAGGCTAAGGAACTACTATAATAGGCCTCTACCTTTAAGGGAGTATTATTACTAAAAAGCTACTATTTTATTACTTACTTACGCTTTATCTATATAGTAATAGGCTAATATATAGTTATTAATATAAAAAAAGAATATAATATAATCCTTTTTTTAATAGTAATTCTTACTAAGCACTTAGTAAAAGCCTTATATAGTAAGTCCTTCTTTAAGGTACTTTTACTATAGTAGTAGTAATTACTAAAGCCTATAGAGTGCTTTTAATAACTAGAAGATCTAGCTAATAATTTAGTAGCCTAAAGGTATCTCTATAAATACTACCTTATTAATAGTAGTATAAATAAATATATTTACTATATTATATTAAAGTAGTTCTAGGTTAAAGTAAGTAGCTATTACTATAAGTATTTTAAATAATATACCTATTAATATAGCTATATAAGTATCTTATAAATCCTTTACTTATTAGTTACTATAGATAATAAGTCTTACCTTAAATTTAGTTAATTAACTATATTTATTAAGCTTATAGGTATATACCTAGTAGTAGCTAAGAACTTAATGCCCTTTAGCTACTACTTATAGCACTATTACCTAAGACTTTAATATTTTATACCTATATAAATATACTATTTTAGTGTCTTTAAATTACTTTTTATATAGGTAGCCTTTTAACTATCTATAAATTAGTAGAGGGTGTAGTAACTTCTAATATATACCTATTAGCCTATAAGGTCTAGTAACACCTCTATTATATACTAGTAATTTACTAGTAATATCTTTATAATTATTATACTTATTAAGCGTTACATAGTTAATTAAGTAGCCTTAGGTATACTTTAGCTAAGAGTAGTAATTTTTACTTATTAGTTAACTTTATAATATACTAAACTATATTATTACTTATAAGCTGCCTTATATATAGTCTATAATCTTTTACTATAAAGGAAGCCCTATAAGGAAAGCAGCCTTAAATAAAGTCCTTAGTGTAATCTAACTACTTATATACGTAGTAAAATAATAACCTTTTATAACGCCTTTAAATAAGGTTACTACTAGCTAGAGATTACCTAAGAGGCTAGCTGTAGTTACTTAGGAATTTAACACCTTTTTACGTTTAGTAATATCTTATAAATTAATTATATAAGGATAAGATAAGGCATAAGGGATTACTATCCTTATTACTTTAGAACTATTAGTTCTTAGTAAGTTACTAGCTTATAGGCTATTAGCTATTAATAAATTAATTAATAGGCTATTAGCTATTAATTTAGGTATTTACTTATTAATTATTTTACTATTAGTAATTATTTAGCTATTAGCTATTAGATTAATTAATTTAAAGTTATTAGTTCCTATTTTACTACCCCTTACGTTAAAATCTATAAAGGCTATAAAAAAGGCGCTTAGTAGTAATAGTAAAGAAGTAAGAAGAAGTGTAAATTTTACCTACTTATATAGATATTCTAGTGCGTTACCTAATTATAGAGCGCCTAGTAAAGTAATATTAGTATATTCTATTACTTTATCTATTTCTTTATTAGCTTCTTTATATAAGAAGGATTAATTACTAGTTACTATTAGCTTATTAATTTATTATTAAATCACTATAAGGTTAGCTTTATAAAGCTTATTAAGTAATCTATTTATTAATTTATTAAAGATTTATTTCTTATTAAATATTATATTACGTATAGTAAAGACCTTATTTTACACTAGATACTAGACGTAATATAAGTTACTAAATATATATCTAATAAGAAATCTAATCTATATATAGGTAGTAAGCTTTTACTAGTAGTTTTATAATAGTTATATACTTACTATTAGTAGGTACGCTTAGTAGCTATAGGCTTATAGATATAAAAGATCTAGCTTTACTTTACTAATATAATAGCCTTTATTACTTATAAGCTTACTATAAGCCTTCCCTTTTTAAGTTTCTATTTAACCTACTAACAGTGTTTAATTATAAAGGTATATAGCTATAGTTATAATTTTAGGCTATAGGACTTTAGGTAATTTTATATTAATTTATATATATTATACCTTAAGTTTAATAATTATAGTAATTTACTTAGCGCTACTATTTTAAGCCTAGGTATTTACTACTAATAGCTTAATAGAGATTCTATAATTAAAAAGTATATCTATAAGTCGCTTAAGGTATAGGATTTCTTAGTTAGCCTTAATAACTTTTAGTGTAATTAAATATTTAGTTTTTAGTATTATAAAGAAGCCCCTTATTATTAAGTTAATAATATCTTAGTAGTAGCTATATAAGTAGAAATCCTATATAAGGCCTATTACTTAATCTAAGATTATTATTACTAAGTAGTATCCTATATAGCCTTATTTAAGATTATAAAAGTCTAGCGCTAGGTAATTACCTAGCGCTATATTTATAATAAATTTATAAAGCTAGTAGTAAATCTACTACCTTATCTTACTAAGACTATATAAATTATAGTCTTATATTATTATAGTGTTAACTTAGGTTAGATATACTCTATATATAGTATTTATAATCCTTTATAAAGCCTTAGTACCTAGGT